CCCCAAAACCCCAAAACCCCAAAACCCCAAAACCCCAAAACCCCTTTTGCCAAACAATTTATAGAATTAAAGATTAATAAGTATTGGCTTTGATATTAACTTTAATTTCTCCTGTGATGACCGATTCTGAGAAAATATTATTGGTGAACTTCGGTCACTTCCTTTCTTCGATTTATATTTCTTCTTCAGTATCATTTTAGGCTCCTCAGCTACAAAGGGAGCATTTATATGAGAATTTTCTTCTTCAGTATCTCAGTTTTCTGTTTCAAGCATTTTACCAGGATCGAGACTTGAAATAGTATTGAGAATAGCATAATCTGATTTTACATGAGGACTATACCTATTCATCTTTGTTGTTTGTAAATGCTTAGCTTTCCTCTTGTGCACTCTAGATGTATTCATTTCTAAATCTCCATTTCTCAGATATTTTTCTTGTGCATAGTAAATATTTTGAGATCCATTATTCATTTTAGGATGACCACTATACTTCCTTGAAAGCTTCTTTTGATTTATTACAGAATTATTAAGAGAATGTATAGTTGACTTCTTCAATGAGCCATACTTCTCCCCCATCCTTGGCCCCTTATTATTCGCAGTTTTGTGACTAAATTTATCTGCAAAAGTGTTCTGATAAAATGGTGCTGGTAGAATATTCGGTTCCTTGCTCATGTTTCTAAGCCCTTGTAGTTTAGACTCCAAATTTATTTTAACAACAGATGAAGTTTGCGCTAACTTAGGATTATAAAGTAGATTTCTATTATTTTTATAGATTTGCATGCTAGGTTTATTTTTTATTTCTCTATTAAAGATCTTTTTATTCTTTCAAATTCTCATTTTATTCCTTTTCGCTGCTGGGCTATCCTGAACTGGCTCCAGAGATCTTTTTAGATGTTTTAATGGTGGACTTTTAGGAACAGTTATTCTATCATACGATCTCTGGCTATGAATGTGTTCATGGACTTTTCTTTTCTTCTTTTGAATATACTCATTTTTCTTAGCCAAATTAAGAGGTCCTCCTGATTTAAAGTAATGATGAGCGCTCTATAGTCATGAACGAACTCCTACATTATTGTTTGGATCTTCCTGGATAGTGCTGCTAGTGAATAAGTACTCCTTCGTGGCAAGATAACTTTGGTTTAAAGGAATCCTATGAGAATCTTCTTTTGATTTATTCAAGTTGTTCTTTCATCAATTCAAAGTTTGCTCACTCTAAGTACTTAAAATGAAAATTACCCTAGACTTCGTGAAGCTTTGTAGAAGTTCCTCTACTTTATCTATACTCTCACTTTGCTTCTTCGGCTCTTTATATGTAGTTCTTCATTACCACTCCGGTTATTTGAGCCAAACGATTGAGAATAGATAGCATTTCTTATTTTGCTAAGTCTCTTCTGGACAGCATCATCAGAGCTGAAAATGACCCAATAATTTACCTGGCAAGAAAGGATTCCTCTTCAATCTTGGTTGGTGAAAGTGAAAATTTTGTAGTTCTTTCCTTCTTTGCCTTACAATTGGCTCAATACAGGTCCTTATTTCTTCCAAAAGATTGGGTATTATTGAAATTAATTCCAGGGGTTAAGCCAGAATGACTATTTCTTTGTGAAAAGACGTTTAATCCTCGCCGATTCTTATCATGTTTTATTTTCTTTTTAACTTGAGGTTGGCTGGTAGCTTCATAGATGCTTGTGTTTTGGTCAAATTCTAGAGGTTATTTGGGAGATTACTCTTTATATTTGCTGATTTTTGAGCTTGTCAAATTACAAACTTCTCCCTTTTTGAATGCTTGAAGTTGCTTTCTAATTGTTCAGAAATTGATTTATCTATATTTGATTTAGAAATTAACTCTTAAGGAATGAAACATATCGAGAGATATTCAAAAGAGACTAAGTTGAGTGGTCACCGACCTCTTGAAGAGTTACCAGCAAGCATCATGTTAGAATGCATTCTAAATTCATAAAAATCATTATGCTCTGAATGTCTCTTTGTGTTAAAGTTAACTCCCTTTTTGATACTTTTTGAATATTTCATCCAATCTGGGCTCTTAGTCTTCTTTGAGGTAGCATTATGGTTCTATAATAATTAGAAAATTTGAAATTATCTAAATATGGGATAATCCTTACAAAATATTGACTTCTAGCATTGGAATCCTTCTTATTCGAGTTTAAAATAGATTTCTTTTTATCCTCTAGACCTTCTTGGCTATCAATCTTTTCTATTAGATAAATTCTGCCCACATTTTCATTTCCTTACCATAATACAAGAAATTGGTGAATGGAGATTTTGATACATCCTAAAGAAATTTTCGATTTAGATACTAAAATGTTTAAATCCAATCAAAAAACAACTTCTATAAACCCCCAAAACCAAATAAAAAATTTAACAGAAACCATCACTCTCTAAATCCCCACTATCCTCTTCTAAACTATCTCTACTCACCTCCCCACTGCCACTCCTCTGCTTGTGCCCTCCCAAATCCATCTTCTTGACCTACAAATTCTCTGATGTTAGCTTACCTTCCTTCTGTCCCGCAGAAGTCTGAAGTCTTTTAGGCCGTTGTAGTACTTGGGCTGAGTGTTCTTGGAGCTGTGCGGGTGAGATTGGGTGGGCTTACTTGGGGGATGGGGGAGTGGGAGAGGTGGGATTGGGGTGGAGGAAGGGGTTGAGGGTGGGTTTGGAGGGATTTTTGGGGTTTTTCATGATGGGGGTGGATGTAGGTTCTATTAATATTATATAAAAGTTGGGGTTTTGGGGTTTTGGGGTTTTGGGGTTTTGGGG